TCCTCAGAGAAACAAGACCCACTCGTGATAAAAATTACAACTGATAAGGGAATAAATAGTGTGCCATGAGGCAGAGTGAACAGATAACAAAACACTGGTAATTTCGCCCCAAGTACTTGAGATAACTGAAAATCACACTACTTTTTTGAGGGAAGAGAACAAGGTCTCACGTATCCCCAGCAGGCCTCAAACGTCCTCTGTAGGTGAGAATGACCATGAACTTCTGATCTACCTGCAACATTCTTAAAGAGTGTTTAATATGGGCCTGGGATGTCAGAGCAGTTAAGAGCACTTGATGCTCTTCCACAGGACCTGAGTTAGGTTTCCCAAGTCCCCATCAGGCAGTTTACAACTATCAGCTCTAGGGATTGAATGCCCTCTTCTGGCCTCTGTGGTGACCCAGACACATAGTGCGTATACACACACACACACACACACACACACACACACACACACACACACACACACACAAATAAAAATAAATCTTTAAAAAAGAATGTGTAATATAAATGTTCATGACTGAAATAAATTTTTGTTTTTTTGTCTTTTTGAGACAGGGTCTCCCTGTAGCCCCAGCTGTCCTGGAACTCACTATGTAGACCAGGCTGGCCTTGAACTCACAGAGATCTGCCTGCCTCTGCCTCCCAAGTGCTGGTATTAAAGGCGTGCACCACTACGCCCAGCAGTGAAATAAATCTTTTAAAAAGAATGTATACTATAAACTGTTCATGACTGTAATATAATCTGTTATAGACCTTCCAGAAAAGGAAAACAGGTACTGCACTGAGAAATTTAATGGATTAAACAGATTAGATACAGCTAAAGAGAATCTAAAGCGAACTGGAGGACAGAACTGAGGAAATACCTAACGATATGAACGTTGAGATTGCTTATATGACTCTTATCAGCAGTTTGAACCTTAGAGGTCTTTCAGATGATGAGTGAGTGAGTATCACTGAGTATCTGAACTAGTCTTGGGTAAAACAGGAATTATGGCCACACTGTGCATCTTGGTAGCCAGTAATACCCTGCTATTGAGTGCTTAAAAGTGGCTGATTACTCAGAAAAAAAACAGACATACATTCTCCCTCATATGTGGATCCTAGAACCAGACTCTGATAAATAAGTATGCAACCAGACATAACTACAGGAACCAGGATAATGGAAAGCAACCAGGGAGGTAAAGGAAAAGAAAGAACCTGAAAGAGAAGAACAGTAGGAAACAGGCCTTATTAAAGGAGATATGGATAAATATTGGGTTAGTTTAAGGGAGGAGGGAGGGAAGGGTATACAAAGAACCTAGGGGATAAAGGGAAAGAAGGAGCTCAAGAGAGGTAGGACCGTAGGAGAAGGGTATTATTAAGGGAGATAGGGGGAAAATGGGGGCACCTTATGTAGGAAAACCATGATGGAGCAGTGAGACAATGTGAGAGATAAACAATGCCTAGTTTTGAAAACCAGAGGGAACCATATTACTCCTACGACTTACTGACAAATTATACATAGCAGATCAAGAAATATATGGCTAGGTAAGGTTTATCTGAGAACAACTGGTCTTTGCCCAAGATTTATCTACATGACACACAGTAATTAAAAGTACCAGACTGGTGGAACTAACCTTCTCGGGTGTTTAACAGACATACTTTGAGGCCTATAATAATTTGGTCAGAGGGACATAAAGGACACTTTTTGCTCCTTGCCCTCCTAGGTCGACTAGTTCCAGGGGACTATGAGCATCTCTCAAAATGTCCTATAATGGTGGTGGGTCATCTGCCCTCTTGATCAAGGAGCCCGAGGAGACCCCGCCAGATGGACTTGAACCAGTGTCCAGTCTATAAAGAG